ACAGATGCAATTTAAACGACTCATTGATAGCTCACAGCTTTAAGAAAATAAAACTGGATAGAAAAAAAATTTTTAGAAATAGATTATCGCATCTTCTTCAGTTGCCTCTTTGGTTTCAAAATGTAACCTCACTAGGTCCTAGGAGGACGAAACAGGTGTGTAATTCACTTAATCTCATTGGATATAATTCTAAATTTGTGTTTAAAAGTGCTGTTCACTTGTGTGTCTTTAAAAAATTTCCCTTTAAAATTAGTCGATGGGTAAAGTTATAAATTAGGAAAGTAAACTCTGCTATTCACGTTTACAAGTGTATTTTACGCAATTTTGGAAGGAGTATGACCCGATTTATCATATTTCACCTATAAGCATAGGATAATGAACGAGTTTTCATTGCATGTGTGATTTTATTCATTTATTTTATCTTTATGGAATATATTAAGAGCAGAATCATGTATATCGTTTACAGTGTTATTACAATGATTTATTCAAAATGGACAGGTTACGGTTATACCACAGTTTTAATTATTTTACATGAAAGAATATATTACCGGATTGTAAGTAAAAATGGAAGCAATGTTGGGAAATGCTTACATGAAGCAACTACCTTGTTGAAGAAACACGTAACAAAAATGACTCGTTTGACCTATGAATTATGTGAGACACAGTAAAACTTAAGGATATTCTTAAGAAACTGTTTAGAGTAAGTGAAAGCGAATACTAACAGGAGTGCAAACATGCATATGCGTTTGATGACAATGGTGTACAAGTTTCATGGTCGACATAATTACCTCATTGGGAAACATTTTATTTCCTTATTTGATATAAAAATTGGACGTTATTGATGTTCTATTTATTAAGTCGTTGTTCACAGTGACCTCGTTTGAAAAGTGATAATACTTACTTGGATAGACCAAGATTCACATGCCGGATGTCGTCGATCAAGCAGACATCGCGTTCTTTCCGGAACACGTTGTCCTATTTTTGGTATTTTTCAGGATTACCAGTGTAAATCTTTCATTTTCTCCTAGTTGTATTGCATTTGACATGTTGGTATGTTCTTCGCCGTTTTTGGTAAATGTGACATCTAAATATATGCATTTTTACCTGGTTTGCATACTGATTTTTTATATGTATTTTATTGGGGGTTTTTTATTATTAATTATTTAAGTTTAAACAAATACATTCATATGTAATAATTGGTGATGATTTAATATTGATTTTCACGATAATTCGAACATTTATGACAACACTAAGTCACATTTGTTTTTATTATGATTTCTATGCATTATCGAGCTAATTATAGTATAGATATACCTTAACGTACTATGAGCTGAAGGCCTTATGATATTGAATTTTAATTATTACATATATTCCCGCCTTTAAGTATTTAAATGCAACTAGTGTTGGTATCTTCACGACTCCTTCGTGTACAATGTGGTCAATCCGCCGAAGAATTTGTCAGTGATTACCTAGATTTGCAGTAAGAGTAGGTCACTGTTCTATGAGGATTTACTATTGACAATTAGATTGTATAATGTCGGCATATAATGTAACCAGCAGAACCCCAGAGGGATATTGCGGCTAGCACTGTTCGAGACTAAATCTAATTATTTAACTTTCGAGGAAAACTTTGGACACTTATTAAGTTTGATGGGGGCACGATTGGTGATTTACTAAAGAAATGTAATTCGTTTAACATCCTTCGAGAGTATATTTGCAAGTTCAAGGTGAAAGTACTTTCTCTTATACTTCACACTACCTTTTCTTGGCACAGGAATGGTAACGTCTTTACCTTGGTAAATTAATGCAGTCAATTCACGCTTTTTGTAGGATGGTGTCAACAGCATATGTCAGTAAAATTCAAGAGTCAGCACAAAGAGTTAAAACCTCTCTCCTAATATCCTTTAGATAAAACAATTTTTGCTGATGCCTCGAGAATTTAATTTTTAACATCATTTTTCGAGGATTCATCCTACCATTTCATTTTCATAAGTATTTTCTTTGCTTAGACACTTTGACCTCTTAATGATATTGATGAACTACCTGTTCCGTTTCCATGAACAATCATATTGAGTTTGTGAACTGTTTGGTCAAGACAACATGCCAACGGACGAAAAAGAAAAAAATATGTAAACTAGTAGAGTTGACTTTCACACAAAACAAATGACAATCATAAATAAAACGAATTACATGAAAAACACACATCAATTTCATTGAAATTTGAAAGTCAATTATGTAAAACGATTGCAAAATATGATACAGTAAAATATAAACCATAGAACCTACAAACTCAACACAAATAAATACACCATGATAATTGATTATTTAAGTATGCAGATGAAAATTATTATGGATGGAATGTTCATTGTCACGCTTACATGGTTTTTCACAAATGACTGTATTTCAATGCTATGTAAATGATCATAAACCTAAAGGGATAATACCTTTATCATTTTGATGATCAGTTATGTCAGTCATGCCGATATTGCGTGGGGTAAATTATGATAGTGTTTGAATGTTAAAATCTAAATATTTGCAAACACAAACTTTTTTTCTGAATTATTCATTGACTGTCCCCTTCACATTCCATATTTTCTTGCATCAATCAATATCATTATACACCTTTACCGACGTACTGTGAAAAGAGCACATAGCTGAGTTCAGTTTCATTAATTAATCGGTTCTTACTCTGATGCAAATGTATGCATTGGTGTAATTTACTACTTTATTTTCTATTTCGTGTAAAATCTTATTTCTTATGTAATGAACTAAATCTAAGCTTTGCCTTGTATCTATCTCTGTCTAAAACCATGAAAGAATTCGATCCCCGTGATTCTACTTGTGATAGAATCACTGCATGTTTCGTTAATTGTGTTCGGGGAAAAGGACTGTTCGGCGAATTACAGGCCCCACTGAGGGTTGATTTATATGTCAGGAATGCATTGCAAATAAACCAATTCCAAAAATCAGAAGTTCAAGTGTAAAGCAAAGTTCGAGCAAAGGTTAAATTGAGGGCAAAGTAGGTCACAGTTGGTGTGAACCAATATCCAAAAATGATGTTTCAGTGACTAGTTGTGTAGGAGCTAAGACCCAGGCAGTTTTTTCTTTGATATCGGACAAAAGGTCAGAGTGAGTAACGTTTGTTAAATGATACATCGCCTCACCAAGATGAACCCTTACCAAAAGTATGAAGATCCAGTGAAATACTTGTATATACTGTCCATGGAAACAAGAAGAAAATACTATTAAGTAAACAAAATTGTAAACTAATCTTCAAATTCCGTATAAGGAGAAACATTTGAAAGAAAAAATGACTTGCATAAAGACCCTTGATCAAAAATATACAAGAACGTGATTCGGAATAGTTTTTTCTGTTGCATCGCCAGCAACCGTCATACAACTTTTGTCATTTCCACTATATGATAATAGAATCTCTACAGAAATATATTTGATATCGTGTTTAAATGATACTCTTGCTTTGATATTGAACATTTTTCATTCATGAAAATATGATATGCAACGTTTAAGTAGGTGTAGAAAGCTTAATCTATGGACTGACTATCATAATTAATTTGTTTGTTCCATAGTTTCGAAAAACCTGATGGAAATGTCTCTTTTTAAACAAACATAAAGATACAACTGATATTATTTATTATACTTTTATACTTTTTAGTAATTGCAGAAAGTTAAATTTATGTACTGACTATCATGTTTATCTTGTTTGTGAATCGAACCATAGATTTGAAAAAACTTGCCGAAAATGTCCCACTTTAACAGACATAAAGATTCATCAGATATGAATTGTAGCATTATTATGGTTCGTTGGTGCATATACGTAATATATCAAATGTCTCAGTAAAGCAATTTAATTATCCTTTTATGTAGACAACAGTAAATTCTGCTGTTAATTTACTATTTTTGAGACACGTGTATCGGGAAAATCAGTGTTGTCTGACTGTTGCTATCTCTTGTCAATATTGTTTTACTTTCTGTTACAGCAGCTATGAAACCGATACAAAATATTTTGAAAATGTTACAAACATTTCTATAGTGTCAGTATTTTTGCTGCTTGAAATTGTATTCAATCATTTCAAACAGACCCTGCATCCAGACATTAGATAGATATTTTAAACATTCCAATCCTATTGTGATCCACGGAAACCAATAATAGCAACGTCATTGTTATAATTGCTTGACAAGACTTTGAAGGCATCCGTAGCGAATAGCGTGTTGATTTAATCGAAACAATTTAACAGAATGGCCTAGTTTGCAAAAACGATCGACAAAAAACGTTATTAACGTCGTGACAGTGAAATTGTACATTGATTTAATCTTATTGATTTAGGTTCAGAAAATATCACATTGTATTCGGCACACAGATCAGTACTAATACAGGTCTGATGAAGACACGCAATGTCTGATAGAGACGGTTTTCCAATAAAACTGCAAATCTCAATCTAGATATGTGTCAACAATGTTTACCAAATATCATATTCTTTTTCATGTTTATGCTTTTAAGTTTTTTTAACTTCAAAGTGATACATCAGAAGCACAAAATTGCTCAAGTATCACAGTGAATTGAATGTTTTACATATGTCCTAAATATATGTTTTTCCGTTGAAACTTTTTTTCTATTTGTAATGGCTAATTTAATTGACAAATTACGTAAATATGATATAATAAATGTAGCATATGCTTGAATCTGAATCAACAAAATGTATTAATACCAAATCATAAAGCATTAATTTCGCATCCTGATTCAAAAACATTCATTGAACTGTGTGATATATGGATCAATCCGGTACATGTTACTGTAGGGTATTTAGTATAACCCTGAGCGTTAGCTCTTCTGTCGTGAAGGTTAATAAAAGCAGTTGTATCGCCTGGACGCCATTTCTTATGAGTTGATTGTTCCACGTGGGTAGCAAACAAGATATTACAGTGGCGACGAGGCACGGAACTTGTGGTAAGATCGACTCTGTGTTTTGAACGAAAGCACCATGGCGAAAATAGGCCGTATCGGCGAGTTCGCAGAGGGCAAAGAGGATTTCAGTTGTTACGTTGAGAGACTGGAACAGTTTTTTGCCGCGAATGATACAGCTGACGTTAAACGGGTCCCTGTGTTTCTAGCGGTAGTAGGTCTGCAAACATATGCTTTGCTTGGGAACATTCTCACCCCAGAACTGCCCAGTACCAAAGCGTATGAGGAGTTGACGGCAGCACTAACTAGACATTACTCCCCCAAACCACTCGTGATAGGAGAACGGTTTAAATTTCACAATCGTAAATAGAGGGAGGGGGAATCAGTTTCTGATTATGTAGTCAGCCTAAAGAATTTGGCAAAGTATTGTGAGTTCGGGGACTTCCTTAATCAGGCTTTGAGGGACAGACTAGTATGCGGATTACGGAGTGAGGTCATACAAAAGAAACTGTTGGCAGAGAAAGACTTGGACCTGGCCAGGGCTAATGAAATCGCGTTAGCCATGGAGATGGCGACAAAGAACACTGAGGTAATTTCGCAGCCGGCCATTGGTTCAGTCAATGTTGTGAACAAAGGTCAGAAGTACAAGCCTCGGAAATCAAAGTACTGGGGTACTGAAAGATCACACTCGGACAAGGCAGAGGGAACCAACAGTGACTCAGGTAAAAGGTGTTTTCGCTGTGGTGGAAAACATATACCAGCAGACTGTAAGTTTCTGCATGCGCAGTGTTATGTGTGTCAGAAAGAGGGACATATTGGAAAAAAATGTCCAACCAAAAGGTCAAAAGGGCCTGTAAGCGGTACTAACATTAGTAAGACTAAGTATCTGGAGGCGCAGGAACTCAAGGATTATGAGTTCTTATATGGCCTGTATAATGTCGCTAGTGTTGATAAGGGCTATAAGGTGAACCTCGATTTGAACGGTTGTCCAGTTCAGATGGAAATTGACACAGGAGCCGAGGTCACTATTTGCTCGGAGAAGGTGTATACTGATCACCTCTCGCAATTGTCCTTGCAAAAGCCCACGGTCAAGCTGAAATACTATGGTGGCGTGAACGTGCCATTACGCGGTGAGGTAACCGTTCCGGTGACATACGGAAATCAGAGCCATAACTTGTTGTTGCGCGTCGCATGTGGCAACCGTCCATCGTTGTTGGGTCGGAACTGGCTAAGCCACATCAAGCTCGATTGGCCAAGTATATTTACTGTGACCCAGTCAGTGCAGTCGCAGCGCATTGATACGTCGGTCAAGTAACTGTTGGTCAAGCATCACAAGCTGTTCCAGAAAGGTCTGGGAACGATACAATAATTCAAGGCTCAAGTAAAGGTTCGGTCGGATGTACAGCCCATTTTCTGTAAGGCCCGGGCGGTGCCTTTGTCCCTGAAGGAAGCCTTAGAGAAGGAGTTTCATAGACTTGAAAATGAAGGCATTGTGTCGCGAGTCGAACAAAGCGATTGGGCGACTCCAGTTGCCATTGTGCCTAAGGCCGATAAGTCAATACGCCTTTGTGGCGACTTCAAGGTGACTGTAAACAAGTGCTTGGATGAACAACAGTATCCACTTCCGAATGTGGAAGACATGTTTGCACAGCTGGCCGGTGGTCAGAAGTTTACGAAGTTGGATTTATCGCAGGCGTACCAGCAGTTAACATTAGACGAGGCCTCAGAGAAGTATTTAACCATAACCACACACCTGGGATTATTCAGGTATCATCGGTTACCGTTCGGTGTTGCATCGGCCCCCGCTATCTTTCAGTCAGTCATGGATCAGATATTGCAGGGAGTACCGCATATCATGTGTCGTATAGACGATATCCTACGGCACCAAGCGACAGTGAACACATCAAGATCTTAGGTGAAGTGTTGCGCAGACTCGAGGAGCACCACGTCCGTCTACGCGAGGACAAGTGTAAGTTCATGGAGGACACCGTCGAGCATATGGGTCATATGGTGGATCGCGAGGGAATCTATCCCACTGAGGCGAAAATCGAAGCGATCAAGAACGCGCCAAGTCCGACAAATGTGTCTGAACTGAAATCATTTTTAGGACTTTTGAACTATTATGGTCAGTATATGCCGAATCTGTCGACCAAGTTGCAGCCTTTGCACGAGCTTTTGCGACAGGATGAGTCCTGGAACTGAACCTTACAGTGCGAGTGCGCGTTTCGGTCGTGTAAGGACCAGTTGTCAAGTGATCGCGTGTTGGGTCATTACGACATGAACAAGCCGCTACGGTTAGCGTGCGATGCATCTGCTTATGGGGTCGGAGCTGTGATCTCCCACATTTGTGACAACGGAGAGGAGCGTCCCATTGCATACGCGTCATGAACTCTATCAGCGAGTGAAAAGAATTACGCTCAGGTGGAGAAGGAAGCGTTGGGTCTGGTGTTTGGTGTCCGGAAGTTTCCCAAGTATTTGTATGGGCGTCAGTTCACCCTGGTGACGGATCACCAGCCGTTAGTTACAATCTTAGGCCCAAGAACGGCGTCCCGACTTTAGCTGCCGCAAGGATGCAGCGATGGGCTCTTATATTGTCCGCGTATCAATACGATATTGAGTATCGGAGGGCCGAACATCATGCCAATGCAGACGCGTTTTCGCGGTTGCCTGTCAAAAGTGACGGGAAGTCGGAGGAATTGGAGGTCTACCACTTCACTCAGTTGGATGACTTACCAGTGACATCTGAGGACGTTGCGAAGGGGACGAGACGTGATGTAGTGCTGTCGAAGGTACTTGACTATGCACTGCGAGGTTGGCCTAATTATGTGTCAGATCGCGACCTGCAACCATTTCATCAGCGCAGGAATGAACTGTCTACTGAGTAGGGTTGTGTGTTGTGGGGTTTGCGTGTAATCATCCCACAAGCCTATCGATAGCGTATTCTGGCCCAACTACAAGAACAGCATGTTGGAATGAGCCGGATGAAATCTCTAGCCCGGAGTTATCTGTGGTGGCCTGGCCTGGATAAAGACATCGAAACAGTGGTCAGTGCCTGTAATGCATGTCATGCTACGAAGAAAATGCCCCCGGTGGCCTACTCGTGTGTGGCAGCGTGTCCACATAGACTTTGCGGAGAAAGACAAGATATATTTTCTTGTGGTTGTGGACAGTCACTCTAAGTGGGTTGAGGTGACTCATAAGACAACCACTACTTCTGAGAGGACTATCGAAGTCCTTCGGTCACTCTTCAGTTCTTATGGCCTACCTGAAGAGGTTGTCTCTGATAATGGCCCCCTGTTTACCTCAACTGAGTTCGAACAGTTCATGAAACGGAACGGGGTCAAGCATACTCTAGTAACGTCCTATCACCCAGATGGACTCAAATGGAGCGGCAGAACGCTCATTCCAGATCTTGAAACAAACGCTTCAAAAGCAGGTCTTTGATTGTGATGAACAATATACAATTCAGCATAGGCTCAGTAACTTGTTACTGAAGTATCGATCTACTCCACAGACTGCTACTGGTGTATCGCCAGCTGAATTATTTCTTCAGCGTCAGCTACGCACACCTCTCTCGTTGTTGAAACCTGACACTGGAAGTCGCGTTCAACAGAAGCAAGCTGAGCAAAAACGACAACATGACAAAGGGCGAGTTCGGGTTCGAACATTCTCGCCGAAACAGACAGTGCGGATGAGGAATTTCATGGGTGGTCAGGAAAAGTGGATGCCGGGTACGATAGTGAGACAGCTAGGTCCTCTTACTTATCTCGAACGGGTAGGACCAAACATTCGCTACACCCATGTTGATCATATCTTATCGTCAGGGGAGGAACCGTTATTTGACGATTTATCCGTGGTGTCTAATTCGGGTTCAAACCAGTCGCAAGTGGATACACCCGTGATACTACCAGAGACGTTCTCGCGTTCTCCAATAACGTCTAAGGAACCTGAAACACTTAAGGTGCCATCTCTGTACCTGACGCCTCAGCAGTCGTAGCACCGATTCCAACTCCTCAGCTGGAATCGTCGACGAGTGACATTCAGACACCCGTTGTGTCGAGCACTAGCCCGGTCGTTCGTCGTAATCCACCTAGGAACCGTCAGCCCCCACAAAAGTTTAATTTGTTTGTTGGTATTAGCCATATCATTGACAGTGATAAGTGTTGGTGATTGAGATCACTTTTAATTACAGTATTTGCAGTGAATGTTGAATTATCGTTTCTTTCAGTTCAGAAGACCAAAGACTGGTTAACAATAATCAACAGAGATTTTGTGTAATTTGAATATTGAACTTGACATTTAAAAGAGGGAGGAGTGTGATATATGGATCAATCCGGTACGTGTTACTGTAGGGTATTTAGTATAAGCCTGAGTGTTAGCTCTTCTGTCGTGAAGGTTAATAAAAGCAGTTGTATCACCTGGACGCCATTTCTTATGAGTTGATTGTTCCACGTGTGTAGCAAACAAGATATTACGAACTGATCTTAAAATAGGTCGTCATGAAAACCTAAGTGATAATTCAATAATATGGATAACTCATTCTAATATATTTTGCTAGATGTTCCAATATTTATATATATATATATATATTTATTTTTTTTTTTTTTTTTTTTTTTTTTTGTTGTTTTGTTTTTTTTTTTTTTTTTTTTTTTTTTTTTTTTTTTTTGTCGTATTAAATTTTAACATATAACATTAGCTCAGCTGAGCTATTACGACAACAATGATATAGAGATAAAGCGTTCGAATTTTTCACGCTAGCGACTTAAAAAAAGCGCAATGATAATGAATGTCCCACGAGATACAAAGTAATAACATTACCGACAGCTAGATGCTCTTTAACATATTAGAAGATATCTATCTGAATTCCTAATGCTTTCAACATTGCCAAAGTATAATTTTACATATAGTTTGAATTATCGGAGCAATCAAACCGAAGTGTACCATTACAAACTTGCATATTAATGTTCATTATAATTTTGAAAGAGGTGTTTTATTATGGTGTGCGTGTTAAAATTTTATCAAATGTTCAACAATACCTTTATGAACACATTTTGCAGGTTAAGAAGACAATGTCCAGCGTAAGCAAACCATGAAAAGCATATTCCAGTCTTATACGAGGGCTGATTGATAAGTTGTGAGCCTTGCATCGAAGACGTTAAGCAGTGATGTCCTTTTTCAGCTGTACTACTCCCTGACTATTTAAGGCTGAAGACTGATGTCATTTTGTCAGTTTATGGAGACGGGGTAGCACTATAAATCCAACAAGGCAAGTGATTTTTTGCAAATGGACAAAATCGCTGAAAGAGCAGTGATTCAATAGTTGCATAAGAAAGGCTTAGCACCTAATGCTACCCATATCGATGTGGTAGAAACTAAGGAATGATGCCCATTCATATGCTACAGTGAAAAGGGTGGGTGGAGGAAATTAGGGGTGGCAGGCAGCGGCGTAGGGATGACACCCGTCTTGGAAGGTATGACCATAAATGGTCATGAAAGTCCATGATATTTTTATGACTGACAGACGAGTTACAGAGAGAAATATAGCCGGTACCGTGGGTTTTTTTGACAGGAAAGTGTACATTTCATTCTTACAGACGATATTGTAATAAGAAAACTCCCGGCCCATTGGTTACCACGACTTCTGCAGCTGAAGCACATAAGGCGGATTTTGTCGGGCTCTAATCTGAACCTTTCAGAGGCAGATCCTGCTAAGTTTTTGCATAGGTTTATGACTATGAATAGATCTTGATTCCATCATTTCACCCAAGAGACCAAACAAAAGTCTAAAAAAAATTGAAGCATCCTGGTTCATCCCTGCCAAAGAAGGCAAAGACTATTCCTCAGCTGGAACAGTTATGACCTCAGTTTTCTGGGATGCTGATGGAATTCTAATTGTAAATTATCTGCAAAAAGGACAAACAATCAATGGTACATATAATACATCACTTCTTAGGCAATTGAGAGAAAACTCTGTAAAGGTGCGTTGTTCCACCAGGACAATGCTCCTGTTCACAAGTCTGCCACTGCCATTGCTGTCATTAACGATTTTGGCTTTTAATTGATTGAAAATCCCGCTTATTCGCCTGATCTCGCTCCACCAGACTTTCATCTATTTCCAGAATTGAAAAAATGTTATTTCCGGTACCCACTTTCGTTCAGATAATGACGTCATACATTCAGTTGAGGACTTTCTTTAAAACTAGCATTAAGTACCTTAAACATCGCTGGCAAAAGTGCACAGACAATGAAAGAGTTCATGATAAAAAAAAAATAGAATATATCCCCCAAATGTAAAACCCTTAAAAATGAGTCTCACAACTTATCAATTACCCCCTCGCATTTATATTTGACGTGTTGCTGAAATTCCAAAACAAATTGCAGCTGTTCACTTGAATAATTCGCTTTTAATTTTGACTTCAAGCCATATGGTAGAGACTATTATCACGACAGGCTCTCTTAACAATGTTAAGCCAAAGTTCGCCAAAATAAGATTTTCTCATCATTCCGTCAAGTTTGACCTGAATCCCATCAATGGAACTTGGGAAGACGTTTGAAATGGCGGCCATCTTGAATTTCAAACTGAGCCAAAAATGAAATTATTTCTGGCATGTTACAATGGAATTCGGCGCGTGGAATTATAGAAGAAGTTTAATATGTGAAAAGTTTACTCCTGACTATTGACGGCACACGACGACGGGCGAAACAAAGGTCAAAGGTCTTATAACCTAACGGGTGGTCGGATGGCGCAATGGTAACACACTCGCCTTTTACCTACGCGTCTGGAGTTCGATTCCAGACACTGCGTGAAAGATTTCCCCGGTTACCCCGGTTTCCTCCCACAATAAGTATCCTCGTGTGTTTCCATCCGGGCCATCAAGAGTGTTTATTATAAGGTTAAAACTTGCAAATAAAATAAATAAAGTTTATTTATACATTTTCAATTGCACAACTACGTTCTGAAGAGAAATTCGTTTTTAACATGATGACAAAATCATGTTTCACTTGTTTATATTCAGTGAAAGCACAGCAATCTGCTTTTTGGATAATTCATTTATCGGTTTCAAGGATATTGCAAGCTGTAATGATATCACCCTACAGAGTTAAAATTGTGTTTACTGAAAAGCTTGTAATAATTTTCTTTAAGCGAAATTAATGCCATGTCCCTAATGAGTTAGAGTTCCAGCAAACTTATACCAGCTTATCCCTTCATTTTCACGCCATAAAATTTCCCCTTATCTTCATTGTCATAAAGTTCTTGCTTTTAGGTATTAGCAAACCAAGATGTTCCTGGATAATTTCCCTTAAGTATAACTTCCTGTATGGTCCGTATTGAAAAAGAGAACAATTAACTGCATTTAAAGTATGGACTTACTTTATTTTGAGTCTACTTCTAAATTGTTTTTGATTAGGTAACCTTCGAAACTTATATCTAAGAAAGCAAAAAATATATACATAATAGATATATATCCCCATAAAAGTGGAGGCGAACACAGTCGCATCTGACAAAATTCTTGACATATTAAAAGACTAGGCATTGAACGCACAACTACAAAAAACAAATGTGCACAACGGTATAACTTCATCAAGCCTGAATGTGTATGGTATTCTGAGACTTGATAACAAAGGGTTACGTCTAACTAGAAATTCATTCTTGGGGGCTCTCTTGCAATAGTCACAATAGTTTCTATTCCAATCGATTTGGCCTTATCAATTCAACATATTTGAATTTTTTACCCCAATTCAGATATAGTTATTACAGTTATAAATCACAATTTACTTAATGTATTTAGTATCCAATATTAACCTGATGGTTTATCTGACATTTCTTTTAAGTGGCATATACCTGGTGGCCTCACCTGGCCACAGATACACAGCCACAACATGCTGGGCTCACCCAGTATCTATGTTGATCAGGATTTTCAGTCATTATAAATGTCTAGAAATAAACATGCAGAGTAGCCCCTAAGATTGCCAAAGTTTATAAATGTAAGTCTGGTACCTGTTATTGATTGTTTAGTTATAAGAGATAATTTTTTACAATACAAAAAATTGTACCTTACTTGAGCGTTGGTGTTATTTGTATAAACTAGAAATTTATTTAATTTAAGTTTATACAAATACACTTTCAGAACTGTATACCATCATTGTAGGGCATGTTTATAAATATGGTAAAAATGTTGTATAATATACAGTGTAGTGTTATGCTTAATTATATGTATTAAGTCCGGTCAAGTTTTATATAAATTTGTGATGTGATTAGTTTCTTATGTACAAGTTCATTTTCAGGTTCATTTATATGCATACTGACGTCATCTGCTATATTAATTAGGGGAGGTCACGTGACCATCACTGACCAATGGTCAGTTCATTAGGGGACGCTAAACAGCAGTGGGTTTAGAGAAATTGATGAAGCAGCAGGCCATTTTCTTCACGACAAACCCACCATCCAGCCCCATTCACCTCCAATTATATGAATTTTTTGTATTACAGACATATCATCAATATATATACCAAGTCGCTAAGTTCTCTGTAACATGCTGTCACATAATAGATACAGTGCCTTCTTTCAGTAGTATATCACAAATAGCATCTATACTTTATGTCTGTTACAGGTTGGCAGGTCACTGATTCTGGGTCTTAGTTATCTACATCATCAGATCATGCATACATGAAGCTGTCTTACTGGTGTGCTCACCCAGTTTCAGTGTCTTAATTCTGTGATTCAGGCCTAGTCACAGTACAGATCAATACATCAAGCTGTCTTACCCGCAGTTCCATATCACCGGTTCAGTAGCTCATTCCTTTAATTCAGGTTAAAGTTTAGTCAACTTCTTAGCATCAAGATTGTAAGTCGTCTTACCTGCTGTTCATATCACAGGTTCAGTGGCTTAATCTGTATTTCAGGTCTAGTCAAAGTGAGATCAACACATCGACTTGTCTTACCTGCTGTTCATATCACAGGTTCAACGGCGGGTTGCCTTAGTCCAGTTCCAGGTC